GGGGGGGGGGGGGGAACCAACGGAGAACAGCCGAGTGCTGCCGGCGGAGGAAAAAAAAGCGGAGTGCAGCGTCCCGACCGAACATCAATCGGGACGCGGGACAAATACCTAAATATCGGGACGTCTGGTCATCCTACGCAAGACTGCGGTCCCAGTTATGCTGGTACGCCCTGAATATGAGATTTGGACATTGGACTATGACCTATGAACTGAATTCTAAAGGAACTCTTTGCAACTACAAAGCTCACCATCTCTGCTATGAATCTGCACCTCAATGAATTGAACTCAAATCTGTATGTATACTGATCTTTTAAACCATATTCTCTCTCTTTTGTTTTTTAATAAATGTTAGTTTAGTTAATAAGAATTGGCTGTAGCGTGTATTTGGGTAAGATCTGAAACATGCATTAACCTGGGAGGTAATGTGTCCGATCCTTTGGGATTGGTAGAACCTTTTCTTTTATAGGATGAAATAAGATTTACTGACATTTTCATCATTTTTGATGTGGGTACCTGGAAGGAGGCCTGAGGCTGAATCACTTGAAGGGAACTGTGTTGTTTGGATTTCTGAGTAACCAGGGAGGTAATAAAGAAGCTGTTTTATGCTGGCTTGGTGAATCGAAGTATTGGAATCTCCACCAGCGTTTTGGGGTTTGGCTGCTCCATTCTTTGCAGTTCACCCTAATTAAGTGACCACAACTGGCCCCCACTAGAACCCCGGTCACAAGCAGTCAGAGCCAAGACTCAGCAGAGCTCAGCACCCGCCGTGCCCCGCGGTGCAGGGGGCCGTCCCGCACAGCCCCTGCTCAGAGCTCACCTGCAGGCAGGGCCCGGCGCAGAGGCGCTGCTCAGAGAGGGGCAGAGCCTACGATGCCTGCCACCTCTCCCAAGCAGTCCTCCCTCTCCAGCTGGGACTCCCACACCCAATGTGTGTGTGTCTGCGCCATTGGGGACTCTAGGCCCAAAATCTCCCCCCCCCCGCAACCAGGGGGCTCCAGATAGGCAGACAAGTGGCTCTGGGCCCTGCCGCAGGGCAGGCCAGAGGGCCAGTCCTGTCACCAACCTCGCAGGATGTAGTTCTGGTAGTTCTGGTCGGCCTCGGCTCCCACTTTGATCAAGCATATCAGCCCCTCCAAGTTCACGAACTCTGGCACCAGGTCTTTATCCTCCTGCAGCACAAACCAGAGATCACATTGATCCACCCGCAGGGGTCCAGACCCCCCAGTCACGGCTTCAGGGGGACAGGAGGCCCAAACAGGCCCTAGTCGTACCCCCACTAAGGCAGGGATGGGGCAGACAGGGCAAGACTGATAGAGAAGGGTGTTGGGGGTCAGGAGAGCCCAAGGGCTGCCCATACCCCACAGCTAGGGGAGATGTGGTCCAACAAGGGGCCAGTGCCGGCGGTGCCTGTGCTGTACCCAGGGGGGGTTAGGGGGGGAAGCCGGCTGGGGGGGTGAAGGGACCAGTGCCGGCTGTGCCTGTGCCGTACCTAGGCCCCTTCATTTTCAGTTTTGATTTTATTTAATTTTTCTCAGGAATTGATCCGTGTTTATTATTACCACAACAAGAAGAACAGGGGGAAATCAGTGCAAAAGAAACCGATTCATTTTTCTGGGTAAATATCGGGGGTTATTTTGGTGGATGGAAAGATGGGAAAAAAGTATTCCGTAAATTAATGCTCTGAATTCCATTCATCAGTGTGGTTTGCTGCAGAACTAGGACAGGACTCAGAACACATGCTGCCGCTTCTGAGTTTAAGAAAACAATCTCTCTACATAAAACTTTTCATCTGAATAAAGAGTTTACTGGTGTAGAATTTAAATATTTATAGGCTAATAGTTCTCATTTAGTAATTCGGCCACACCATTTGCAGCGCATACACTCAACTTCATCCTTTTCTCCTGTTTTTTTTAAATTTATTAATTTTCAAATGCTTCCTTGTGTTCTGAAACATATTCTGACACAGATTTTTGTTTTCTTCCCATTTTAGTGGGTCAAATCTTTAAACCGTTATCTGCTAACAGCTTGAAATATGTCTGTGGTGGGCGTGAGATTCATCAGGACATTCAGATGCGCAGGCACTTCAGAGCTTGTCTGTGTGCTTGTTTGTTTATTGTGTGTCTCTTCTAGACTAATACAGAGCTTTACTTCAACAGACGGCTTTGCATAGACCCACAGAATAATGTATTATCGTAATTACATTTCATAAGATATGTGTTTGTATTTTCCTAATAAAGCAAATTATTTTTTATATATTTGAATGACACAAAAGTAGGGTGAAAAATCAGAAAAAAATGAATAATACTTTTTGTAAAACGTGGGAATTTTTCAATAAAAATCGATTTAAACTGAAAACGAAGGGGCTTAGCGATACCCTGTGGGTGTGTGGGGGAGAGGGGAGAAGGACCATGCTGGCTGGCCTGTGCTGTACCCCAGGGGGAAAGGAGGGAGAGCAGCAGGGGGAAAGATAGCAGTGACAGCGGTGCCTGTGCTGTACCCCACTGGTTACTGCTGGGTGAGAAGCCGTGGCACAGCGGGGTGCTGCAGGGATTGACAGGTGAAGCTCAAGGCGCCAGCCCAAATCTGCAGCCCCCCAGGGGGCAGGGGCTGGGTTAACAAACCCCATACTACCTCTCCTGGCTTTGGGCCAGAGCCCCCGCTCCCCAGGCGCTAAGCCCTGCAGCTTCCTCGGCGCCGAACTGAGGGCAGCAGGAATCGGGCATGGGGGAAAGGCAGGATACACGGGGGAATTTATCACCCAAAGCAGCAGCTGGGGGGCTGGGCTGATGGGATCCCCCAGCATCACTTAACGCCACAAGCCCCCCATGACCAGCTGCCCCCGCGGAGCCCTGCACAGCTCATGGCCCTGGGCACAGGCCCACAGAGCGGTTGGGGGAACGTACCTGAAAGAGCTGCTTGAGGGAGAAGAGGGAGCGCCTCAGCTCCGGCCCTTGGGAGTTGTACAGCTTCTCTGGAAGAGAAGGAAACACAGCCACTGCATTAGGGGGGTGGGGGACACAGACCCTGGAGCATCCCCCAGCAATGGGGAAAGCCACGAACCCTCCCCTCTGCAGCCGGAGCAGAGGGGCAGAGCGCATGCTGGCCAGGCCCCACGCTCAGTGCCAGGGCTCAGCTGGGCTCTCTCCCTTTGCAGAGGGGACGGAGGGGGGCTGGTGCCGCTGACGTGACTTTCACCTCGGGGCAGGGATCGAGGCTGGGGACACCCCCTCCCCTGGAAGGAAGGGGTGTGACACAGACGGGCTGGGGCATTGGGCCTGCCAGGCTGGCTGCCCATACCGACGTGCGGGCCAGAGGCCGCTGTGCTCGGGACTGAACCACCCAGGGGCCGAGGGGCGCCCGTGCTGGAATGAGGCTTCGAGGGCTCCAGCGGGCAGGCTGCCTGGCTCTGCTCGGCTCTGCCCAGCAGGACAGCCCTGCTTCCTGGCCTAGCCCTGGGCCTGCCACCTACCACGATGGCCGGCTCGGCCCATTTGCCCCCCAGTACAGGCGGGCGCCCCTCAGCTGACTCCCAAGGGGTCCCAGGCACCCATCTCCTCCCCTCGGGGTGGTGGCAAGAGAAGCCCGCCCGCCCGCTGGGACCCCGGGGTGCTGCAGCAGGGAGGAGGTGGGGAGGGGAGGAGATGGGGTGAGGTTCCTTGGCCTCCCCGTGCTGAGGACTGCATGCTGTGGTAACCCCTCATCTTGCGGCCCAGCGGGTTTGTGCTGAGCCTGAAAGCTAGGCAGTGCCATGCGCTCCAGGAGGGGTTAGCACAGGGTTCAAGAACCTTCAAGTGGCCGAGCTAGGGCCGGCTTGGAACCAGTTCCCACCAGGAGAAGGCTCCAGATCCCATTCTCCGCCCCACAGCGCAAGGCCCATGTCCCACTCCCTGAGCCGGTCAGCTCCCCACGCCCCAGGAAGGGAGGTGCTCAGCTCTCTGTAGGCTGCAGCCCTCGGGAGTCAGGGTGGCACCTGCTATGCGAGAACCCCTGCAGAATGAAACACACTCGTGGTGGTGCTTGGCCTGAGACCACCCACCCTGCTCCCGGGGGCAGCCAGACACAGACGGGATGCCAGCCCGGGGCCGAGCTAGACCCTGTACGTAGGAAATGACCCAATCGTGAAACCAGGGCTAACAAACACTTCCTGAGCCCGCCAGCTGCAGCGGATGCTTTGAGGAGACGGATGCAGACACCACGCCCCCAGACAGCTTACAGCGTGGCTAGCATGGACAGCGCCCTCTGCCCCCCAGCTGAGAGCGTGTGCAAGGAGAAGCTACGCCGTGCTCTCACCCTGGCAACGGCAGCCAGAAAGCGCCCGACATCAGAACAACCTAAGAATTGAATTGTCCCCATCAGCTCCAGAGCCACCACCTCCCCCCAGCCCAGCGTTCCCTGTACCTACTCCCTGGGCTCCAGACCCACAGACTGCACCCCCGTACGCCTGCTGTTTCATTTGACCTTACTATTGATCACTTAGTTTGAGCCTCTTTTTAAAATGTATTTCTATCAAAACCCTAGGCTGTGAGCAGCTTTTCAATTAAACGTTTCCCAAAAAGCAGTAAGAACCCTGACAGATAAATAACTGGAAAGGTATGTTTCAAAGTTCTAAAAGCGATGCTTAAGCCGTTTACAACCTTTTTTAAACAACTTAATGATTATAATCTTTAGAAACATCTGCGCCTTTAAGGCAAAACTGTGGTGCAATTTGTTTTGACGTTCCGTGGGATATACACACGACAGCAGTTTGTCATACATAGAATTGCAGCAATGTAAAGCAAGTTTTTCTTTTTTCTTTTTTTAAATAAAGGTTTTAATACTTAAATTTAAGTGAGGGATAGAAAGAGATTTGATGTCTATTATAACAGGAGTTGAAGTATTTTTTTAACATGGTTTAAAGCCAGATTTGTTATATTCTTTTAGTGGTAAAAATTGTGTCTGAATTCCGTATATATAGACAATATGCCAGGGGCGGCCAAACTTACTGACCGCCGGAGCCGCATACGACAAAAAGCTGGGGCCCGCCTGCCGGGACTTGGGACTTCAGCCCTGTGGGAGGCGCCTGCCGGGGCTTGGGGCTTCAGCCACGCAGGGAGGGGGGTCTTGGGGCTTCAGCCCCATGGGAGATGCCAGCCAGGGCTCAGGCCTTCAGCTCCCTGCAGGCCTAAAGCCGCGGGGCAGAAGCCAGAGGCAACACACGGCGGAGGGGCATGTGGGGTTATGTGCCTCCCCAGATTTTTGCCAAGGTTTGCTGGTCCTACTTGGTCACGTGGTGTCACCAGGGCTCCTCCTTGCACAGCCGCTGCTGGGGCCAGCAAGCTGGGGCCAAGGGGAGAGACAGCGGCAACAGCTGGAAGCTGCAGGGAGAGCCACTGCTTTTGCTGCTGCCTCTCCCCATGGAGCTAAAGCAGTGGCCCCACCCTGCAGCCTGGGGGTGTGTGTGACTCAAGCTGTTGGGGGCCCCAAACCTTTAAATTGTACCCCCACTCTCAGCAGGCACCAGTCGTCTCTGGCAGAAGCCCCTAACCCCACCACCCAGCTGCAGGGCAGAAGTCCCGAGCCTCCCCCCAGTCTGGTAGGTGGAGAACGCGGGGGGGAGAACAGGGGGCCCTGCACTTTAACTGTAAAAGAGCCGCATGCGGCTCGCAAGCCACAGTTTGGCCCCCCTGTAATATGTTAATGAACTTTGGGGGGAATGGGGGAATCTGTCTCTCGTGCGGGATCTAAGATTTTTGCAGGTGGGAGCGGGATAAAAATGCAAGAAACAACCTAGGAGCAGGTGGTAGTGGAATTAAAAACAATAGTCCCGCGCAGGGCTCTAAGCCAGAGTGCAAGATCCTTCCCCCAGCAGCAAGCTGCACTTGAGCTATGAATCTCCCCCGTAGGGGTGCACGTCCTCCCCTCCCCCTCGGCTCCCAACCCGGGACCTGCAGGGTGCTAAGACAAGAGCTCCCTCCCTCCATTCTCAACCACTACTTTCAGCTCGGAGTAGGTGTGGGCCCCTGCTCAGTCTCAGCCCGTTTGCTCCGTTTGGGAAGGTCCCGCGAAGCTCCTGGAGCCCCTGGCTGCAGGCAGGCCCTGCTGTGGCTCCTCCCTCGAGCACTAAGAGGAGCCCGTGGCCCCCAGGGCCTGCTGTCAGCCTTGGGGTCTGGGGGAAGCAGACACGTGGCCTGGCAGCCAGGGAGCAGCTACGGCCTGGCAATGGCGGGTTATCTGGAACTTGCCAATTTCCTGTTTTCTTTCTTTTTTTCTTTTTGCATAACAATGCTATAAATATCTCCCCTGGCTTCCTACGCACAGAAGAAACAGGAACTTCGATGAGAAGCATGGCCTCCTGCTCTCCCCTGGCCCGGAGCCCAAGGTAGCTAGCTCCTGCCGGCTCTCCCCCGCAGTCCGAGAGGGCGGGCTCTTTCCATCCAGGCGGACGGTGACACTCCTAGGACACAATGGCAGAATCCCGGCTGACAGCCCATCAGGGCTTAGTGTCTCAGGCTGTGCCAGGGGCCAGGCGGCCCAGCACAGCAGCACCAGTGCTTCGCCGGCACAGTCTCTGCTGGGTGCCCACTCCCGTGGACGGGAGGCACTGCAGAAAATCAAGCACGTCTGCTCTCAGCACAGAGGGTCCATGTCATTGTTGCGGGACACAGATGGACAGTGCAGACACCTAAAGCCAGGCAGCACAGGATCCACCACATCACGTCAGACACTGCTCCGTCTGGTCTGCTACCCCGCCTCCTAGAGCGCTCAGAGACTCATGCATCCGAGAAAGGTGAAAACCTCTCCTGCCGCATCTGACAAGCTGTACAATTCTGTACATGGGGCAGCTTCCTTCCTGACCCTTGGCACAATCAGCTGATGTCCTGCAACATGAGATCTGATTATCCCTCTTAGCTCCCAGAGCAATGGATCAGCGGCACAAGGCTCTCTGCCTTATGGAGATCAGAGCACAGGAACAAGAGGTGCAGATCTGCATGCCCTATGGAGCGAGTCCCCAGACAGCCCTTTCTATGCTCCAAGAGGAAGGCGCACTCCCCTTCGCCCCCCTCTTCTGGAGTCCCTGCAAGAGAGCGCCCCTGGATAGCCCTTCCCAAGCAAGAGCCCTCAGATTTTCACACCCAAGAGGTGGCTTTCCTGCCCCTGGCCCCTTCTCCCTCTGAGCCCTGCTGCTGTCATTACACAGCTGAGAGACAAACTAGGGAGGTAGGTGAAATGTCTCCTCCCTGCAGTCAGTCAGTCAGAGTGGGAGGAACCCCAGCTAGCCCTGGACACACTGGAGGTTGGGCCAGGTGATGGCAGACAGGTATGTCCAAGGTAACATGCACTGGCAGAAAGCATCTACCTCCCCCCTGCACCACCCCCAGGGCCGTCCTTAGGCATATAAGGCTGTGTAGGGCAGTGGTTCTCAAACTTTCGTATTGGTGACCCCTTTCACCTAGCAAACCTCTGAGTGCCACCCCCCTTTATCAATTAAAAACACTTTTTTATATATTTAACACTATTATAAATGCTGGAGGCAAAGCAGGGTTTGGGGTGGAGGCTGACAGCTCGCGACCCCCCATGTAATAACCTCGTGACCCCCTGAGGGGTCCCGACCCCCAGTTTGAGAACTCCTGGTGTAGGGCACCCGAAAATTTGGGGCTCTATTGGGTCTTAGTGTCCACCCTTCTGCCTTTTCCTATCCCTGTTCTGACCCTTCCTGCAGGCTCCCACCACAGCTGGCTGCTGCAGCCTCCCCAGTCTTCTTCCAGAGGGGATCTAGTACTTAAAAGTGAAAAAGCCTCCAGCCTGCCAGACCTATTAGCACAACACTGAAATTGTTAGCGAGCCATTCACGGGGTAATGGAGCCATTGAACAGGCATTTAACAACCCCCAGGTACAGACTGTCTGAATTTACTGATGGAAACAGTTGTGCATCACGGTCATGTTTACTCAGAACATGTCAGTCTACAGGACCTTAGTTTAAAATCTGCTTTAAAAATATTTCATTAGTGTGATGGTGAAGATGATAAAATCACATCTCTAAAAAACCCTCGCATAGATTTTTAGATGCACAATCTGAGGATTCATCTTTAGCCTTAAATGCTTGAACCTTCAGACAGTTTTTAAAATAAATCCTTCAAAAGACCCCCCCCCCCCAAAATACACATGCGAGCCCAGGCTGCTGTCGGCACAGGGGCACCAGTTTAACAATACTGCAGAGGGCCCCATAAATCCTAAGGACGGCCCTGACCACACCCTGTGCACAGATGGGCTCAACTTGCAGGGGCCTCCAGGGACAGGGGAGCGGCACTGCCCTGGGGCACAGGAGGAGTCAAACAGCACAGGGGGAGCAATAAAGGGGAACAGAAAACAGCCCACGTCTGTTGACACTAAGAAACAGCCTCACTCCCGTGCTCTGTAGAGCCAGGCCTGCTTCCCTCACACACCCAGCAGAGCGGGAGAGGGGTTAGAGATCTGGACGGGGTTTACATACATCTTGAAGCAGCAACTGCTAAACTGCTCGGCCTGTTGGGCTTGACATGAGTGGCATCAGAGGGGACTGACCGAGAGGTTCTGACCGAGAGGTTCTCCCCCATCCCCTACCTATCTCCAGCAGGCCAGGAGCGAATAGAAATGCAGTCTGAGGAGGTGAGGGCCATGCCGTGCCTGCTGATCTAATGGAAAACTTGGAAGCAAGGCAGATGCCAGGGGCGAAGGTCTGGAGACACCGAGAAGACAGTCAGGTCACGCTGCTGACCCCCCGCCCCACTAATCTAAGAGTTAGCATGTTCTCTCGCCAGGCCTCCTGGGTTAGAGCGGTAGGCAAATCTCATCTCTGCAGGAACGTGAAGGAGGCACTTGGTGTTCAGACACATCCTTCCGCATGTGTCAGGGACAGGAAAAACGAATGCGACTTCCTGTGCCGGCAGTGCCAAGCCTGCTGCAGACACCACGCAAATCACCATTGCTAGCAGCAGCCAGAGAAGGCCCATTCAATGGTATCTCCCCCAGAGCCCGTCTGGTAGGTCTGGGAGAAAGTTTGGTTTCACAGGTGTCCCCCAAAGAGCAACAAACACACCATGATGTATCCAGGTAAATAAGGTTTCATCAGCAATCTGATTACAGCGGAAGTGCTGCAAAGGCGAGTCAGGAAGCGGGCAAGACTGTGTGACTGAATCACAGTCAGAAAGTAGTTTAGGAGCCCTGCAGCAGCCATGCACGTTCTGCCTGCAGCAGGCTCCAGCAGCCAGCCCCCCGGCAAGTCTGTGTGCAAAGACAGCAGCCAGCCTAGCTTTTGCTCTGTAAGCAGCCTGGTTTGCACATTGCAAGCCTGACACACCTGGGTCACAAGTCCAGTTTCCAGCTAAAGAAAGGAAGATCCTGATGCCCTGACCCTGAGGGTTCCTCTGCAAACAGTGGCTGGAGGGAGCAAGGGTTCTAGCTAATGCTCCTCTCCCGCTGACCACAGGGATGGCGGCACCAGAGCAGTGCAGCTCATGCGTTTGGTTTGGCCAAGACCAACGCCTTTGCCCAGCGCAGACGGGAATCCTGCAGTTGATTGCTGTCAGAGCTGACTTGTGAACTCTGCTGTTTCAATGCACCCATGACATGGTGTCAGGCTGATGTCCTGCAGTATAGTGTATGCAGCTGGGGGTTTTATAGCTGTACTCATAGAATCATAGAAGACTGGGGTTGGAAGAGACCTCAGGAGGTCCTCTAGTCCAACCCCCTGCTTAAAGCAGGACCAAACCCCAACTAAATCATCCCAGCCAGGGCTTTGTCAAGCCGGGCCTTAAACACCTCTAAGGAAGAAGATTCCACCACCTCCCTAGATAACCCATTCCAGTGCTTCACCACCCTCCTCGTGAAATAGTGTTTCCTAATATCCAACCTAGACCTCCCCCACTGCAACTTGAGACCATTGCTCCTTGTTCTGTCATTTGCCACCACTGAGAACAGCCAAGATCCATCCTCTTTGGAACCCCCCCTTCAGGTAGTTGAAGGCTGCTATCAAATCCCCCCTCACTCTTCTCTTCTGCAGACTAAATAAGCCCAGGTCCCTCAGCCTCTCCTCCTAAGTCATGTGCTCCAGCCCCCTAATCATTTTCGTTGCCCTCCGCTGGACTCTCTCCAATTTGTCCACATCCTTTCTGTAGTGGGGGGAATAAAACTGGACACAATACTCCAGGTGTGGCCTCACCAGTGCTGAATAGAGGGGAATAATCACTTCCCTCGATCTGCTGGCAATGCCCCTACTAATGCAGCCCAATATGCCGTTGGCCTTCTTGGCAACGAGGGTACACTGCTGACTCATATCCTGCTTCTCGTCCACTGTAATGCCCAGGTCCTTTTCTGCAGAACTGACGCTTAGCCAGACAGTCCCCAGCCTGTAGCGGTGCATGGGATTCTTCCGTCCTAAGTACAGGACTCTGCACTTGTCCTTGTTGAACCTCATCTGATTTCTTCTGGCCCAATCCTCCAATTTGTCTAGGTCACTCTGGACCCTATCCCTACCCTCCAGCAGATCTACCTCTCCCCCCAGCTTAGTGGCTGAAGGGGTTCATTGCTTTCTGCAAAGTTGCTGAGGGTGCAATTAATCCCATCATCCACATCATTGATAAAGACGTTGAACAAAACCGGCCCCAAGACCGACCCCTGGGGCACTCCGCTTGATATCGGCTACCAACTAGACATTGAGTTGTTGATCACTACCCGTTGAGCCCAATGATCTAGCCAGCTTTCTATCCACCTTATAGTCCATTCATTCAATACATATTTTTTTAACTTGCTGGCAAGTTTCTGCTGGTTTGGTGTTTAGTTTAGGGTTAGTTTCTACTGTTGGTTACCTCTTGATTCCTGCTGTCTGACAGGCAGTTATTAAAAGCACAATCCAGCTGATCTCTACAGCATCCTGAGGTGGCTCAGTCAGAAGCTCTAACGAGGCAAGCAGCAGCCTTCCGAGAAGATTTCAGGAACGCTGATTAGGACTTTCGGTTAACTTGCAGTTCAGGTGACCTTTGCCCCCTCCAGCTGCTGGAATGTCCGAGCACCAGACACACACAGCAGAGCAGACCCTAACCCGGCCAGAGCCTGGGAAGCCCCAACAGACAGCAGAGCCCTGACCTCAGCGGCTCTGCAGGGAAAGGATTGCACAATTAGCTGACACGGCACTGGAGCCCAGGGCGGGGCTGTCCCTAAGAGACCTGCAGGCACAGGGGAAGGGAAAGGGTAGACACTACAGGCACAAAGACAGAGGGGGACGCTCCACCTTCCCAGGCCTGGGCCCGCTGTCCAGGTAAAAACTCCTCCAGGGGAAGGGAAAGCGCCTTCAGGGTATGTGCAACCCCACTCAACCCTTCTGGGATCCACCAATGGATTGGGACCCACCATTTGGGAAAGGCTGGTCTAGGCTGACAGAGCTCCTCGGTAACCTACTCAGCAGTTATCACCTGGGCTCCTACTGCACAGAACAGCAGGGGCTCAAGTCTTCTCAGTGCGGGCCTACCTCCCGCCGTTGGCCACATGGAAGAGCGATGCAAGGAAAGGACTGAATGCCTTTTAGTAGCTGGACCCATGCCGAGTGAGCAGGACCCCCCATGTCAGCTCCCCGCGGGCTGCCAGCAGGAGGGCCCCAGGCTGCAGCAAAGGGGCGGCCGCTCTAGATCTCGTTAATACAGCACCCCTGTGCAATACTCGTGATCCCCGCACCAAGCTCAGGAACCGGGAGACACCCAGTGCCGAGGAGCCATGCTGGTTCCCAGCACTGGATGCCTGACCCTTCATCGGGGTTCTTGGCCACGAGAGACAGTTGTTTGTACTTTCCAAGTCTATATTTAGAGCTTGCCTAAGCGACCCGGAATATTTGTAGCATGCGGCATGTTTTCAGTATCACAGGCAAAAATATTGTTGTAGTTGGGCTCTCTGTGCTGAAAACAATTAACCCCTTCAGCCCCAAGAGCCACGGGAGGAACAATGACCCGAGTCAGAGTTTAAGGCCAGGTCTTCCAGTCTGATCTCCTACACAGCACAGCCCACCAGCACCCCCACACGGAACCCAACCCCCAAGTATCACAGCCCACAGGAGACCAGGTTATTACGCACCACACGGAGAGAACAGGAAGGACCTAGGTGCCCGAGGCCCCTGCCATGGCAGGGAAAGGATGAAGTGAGATATCCCAGATGATCCTGGCAAGTGACCCGCACCCCACGCCGCAGGGGAAGGTGAAACCTCCCCAGGTCACTGCCAGTCTGACTCGGGGGAAATTCCTTCCCGACCCCCCATGTGGTAGCAACCAGACCCCCCACGTGGTAGCAACCAGCTAGATGCTGAGCATGTGAGCAGGAACCAGTCAGACAAGCACCCAAGAGAGACTGCTCTGTGCCACCTCAGAGCCTGCCCCCCTCCTTGCCCAGTTGCTCATCTCCAGCCGTGGCAGTGACAGGGGCTGGGAAAACCCAGCCATGGCAGACAGAGACATGAAGCCAGAGAGAACATTGGAGCTCAGAGGATCATGGGAAAGGGAGCCGGGAGCCAGCCCCCAGGAGCACTCAGCAATTAACCCACGGGCCAGATTAGCCAGGCCCCACTGTGTCACAGTGCTCCTGGCTCGAGTGGCCTTGGGCCAGTTAAAGGCAAAGGCCCTGGGGAATACAGAAGGGACTGGGCCCAGAGCCCTTGGCTATCAGGGACTCACCGAGGATGGCATGGACTCGGACGGAGAGCTGCGTGCGCAGGATCAGAGTTGGCCGCCGCCCTTTGCTGGAACGAGAGGAATGCAGGTAAGTCACCGCAAATGTCACCAATAGCCTCGCTCGCGGGCAGCCAGGGCCTGCTCACAGCACCGCCATCGGGAGCCTACAAGTCAGCAAGGCCCAGACCCACGCCGACCAATGGGCACCAGCCTGCCTCCATACTCAGCACCAGAGCCAGAGCTCTGCTCCCCTAATGATGTGCCAGCCACCTCTCCCCCAGAACAGCTCCCCCCACACACACACACACCATGCCCCACTTCCACAGGTTACTGACAGCAGCAGCACCCGGCTATTGCTGGGGCCTGCCAGATCACCACAACCACCCTCAGGAAACCAAATCTACGCAGTTACACTGGGGGGGATGGGCAGCTCTTTGGTGCACTGTCCTGGGGCCTCCACGCACCTCTGCCAGCGTACTTCTGTCCTGATCTGTGGCCGCTCCTGCTTTCCAGGCCTGATCTCTCCCCACAGCTCTGCTGAGGCACCTCAAGTCCAAGGTCCCTCACTCCCCACAGACTGCCCTAGAGACTGACCAAAACTGGCCTGTCCCCAGGCTCTCAGCCCAGGGGCTCAGTTTAACATCCAGGAAGCAGCTGGCAAAGGAGTGAATCCCCCAAGTGACTCTACCAGCCCCAGCCCCAATTCCAGCCATTCTTGCTCCCCCGCAGGCCCCTCACTGTCTGCTCCATCCTGCTGAGCAGGCAGAAGAGCAACATGCATCAGCGTCTCACTCCATGGGGGCATCTGGAGAAGGCAAAGGTGGGGGAAGCAGGGTCATGTTGTCTGGCTGGGCAGTCTCCTGAGTGGAGACAGTGACTCATGTCCCACTCACTCGGTTCAGACGGGTATATCTGCGACTCCAGCAACTCACCTGATCTCCTCGTAGAATCCTTCCAGCTCATCTTTCTGCTCCAGCAGGGACAGATCAAGATCCAGGTACTGTCCAGATGGTGAGACCTGCAGCGTACAGTCCGCCAGCTGCAAACACAAGGACCCCCCACAGATCAGTGATGGTGCTTGCTACCAGGAGGGAGGAATGCATAGCGAGGTCGTGGGGAGCAGGGTCAGTGTGAGGCACCCCAAGAACTATACTGCCACTCTGCACTTGTAGAGGACAAGTAGCCAATCAGCAGCAGGGCTAGGAGTAGAACCCAGGAGTCCTGACTCCCAGACCATCTGCCCCCGCCTCTCAACCATGCGACTCCCTAGCCATTCCCTCACGCCCAGCTACTGCCACCCCCTTTTGTGGGGTTGCACAGCCGTGCGGCGCCTTGGAAACGGCTCGCTGAGGATTTAACTGAGGCACTTTAGTTCAGCTCTGGGGGCCAGAGTGTAAGTCACTCACGAGTCCAGAAACTCCTATTCCGTGTCCCCTCAGCAGCAGCATTCTGTCCCATCCCATCCCCCGGGCTCGGGGGTTCACAGGCCATTTCGCCACATTCCTGTCTTCTCTTCCCCTCACCAGAGTCAGAGATTCCAAGGCCAGAAGGGACCATTGTGACCATCTAGTCTGTCCTCCTGTATGCACAGGCCAGAGACCTGCCCCGAAACCATTCCTAGAGCAGATCCTTTAGAAAAACCGCCAGTCCTGATTTAAAAATGGTCAGTGATGGAGAATCCACCAGGGCCCTTGGTAAATTGTTCCAATAGTTAATTGCCCTCACGCTTTAAAAACTTACGCTCTATTTCCAGTCTGAATTTGTCTAGATTCAACACCCAGCCATTGGATCGCGTTAGACCTTTCTCTGCTAGACTGAAGAGCCCATTATTAACTATTTGTTCCCCACGTAGCAACTCAGACTGGGATCAAGTCACCCCTTAACCTTCTCTTTGTTAAGCTACATAGACTCAAGGAGCTCAATCTATCTCTAGAAGGCAGGTTTTCTAATCCTTTCATCATTCTCGGGGCTCTTCTTTGAACCCCCTTCAATTTATCAACACGTGTCTTGAGTTATGGACCCCAGAACTGGACACAGGATTCCAGCAGTGGTGGCACCAGCACCAAATACAGAGGTAAAATAACCTCTTTGCTCCTACTCACCATTCCCCTGTTTATGCAGCCCAGGATCACATTACCTCTTTTGGTGACAGCATCCCACTGGGAGCTCCCGTTCAGCTGATTATCCACCCTCCCCCCGAATCTATTTCGGAGTCACTGCTTCCGTTGCTAGCTCACGGTCCCGTGCAGGCAGCTGGGTGAAATGCACTGGTCCCCTCATCTCTACAGCGCTTGAGCACGGAGCTATGGAGCCCACCGACGGAGCTGACAGCAGGTGAGGAAAGAGGCCCAAAAGGAGCCCCCAAGGAAAGGGGGCGGGGAATAAAGACAACCCATAGAGGGGAGCAGTGGGGCAGGGACAATTCAGCAGTGGGGGTGAGATGAGAGGAGAGGACACCGTACCAGCCCTAAAGTAGCGACTAGGTGCTAGCAGTTCTCCCCCACCCATCCCTCCAACACACACCCTAGAGACGCAGCCAGCTGCATCTCTAGGTGTCATGGCAGAGGGACATGTGCACACACCCTCGGTACACACAGGCACTGGTGACTCACCCATCACCATGATCCTGACAAAGCCTGCACGCTGACTCATCGCCGCCTGGCCGCTTCCTGACGGTCATGAAAATCACAGCTTCCAGGCTGTGCAGCTTTCACATCCCAAAATACAGGGCTCCGAGCAGAGGAGCACAACCCCGACAAGTTCAGCCACTCCTGAGTCACAATGCAACCACTCCAGGGGATCGGCCACGTGGCCCTGGCCTCAAGCCAGGTAGGCTCTGCCTGCCATCTCTGCGGTGGACAGCGGTAAGATCCCTCCCTCTCTCCTACAAGAGAGGATGCCCTCTTCCAGCAGGGCAATGGGGAGAGTGCCAAGCAGGGACTGGCGATCTCAGCCCTGTGGAGGAAAGTCAGAAAAGCCACCGTAAGGAGGCTCCCTTCCTGAACAGCACGAGGGGAAAGGGCAGCTCCCGGCCAGTTCAGCCTAGAATTGGAGCCGCTTGCCCAAACGCTGCCTCTTCCTCCGACTCCCACAGCCCACCTCCCTCAGACACGCAGCTGGAACCAGTTTCACCCTCGGCCCAGCTTATCTCATCTCACGCTGGTGTTCTGAATTCTGTACCGATATGTCTGACAGGAACTCTTGCTCTGGGGTCGGGGATTGTCACAGGGACTCTCGCGGGGGGGGGGGGGGGGCAAAGCACCCTCCATGGAAAGGGCAGGGGCCCAACCCCAGCTCTCCACATTGTGACAGACAAGGCACTTCCTTCTGGGATACCGTCAGGAGACCGAGTGGAAGCAGGAGGTAGAACACCTTGGGATCTGGCTCCGGCACACACAGATAGACTTGGCAGCATTCGATTTCAACCAGTAACCGGCGGCAAACATCCATTTCAGCTGACACACCGAAATCAATCCATGGGTAAAAGGGGAGCCTGAAGGGATTGGGTGTCAGCTCTTTCCGGACAGGAAATCCCACATCACAGCTCCTTCTCGTGGTCTGGAAGGTTCACTCTGCACTGACATCAGGGAGCGGATCCTCTGCAAGTCCGGCCCCATATACTGGGGATCAAACTACGTGCCCTCGCGCTCGGCCTTTGGAAGGCAGGGCCTTACTGGCCTTGGTATCTTGCTATGGCAAGTCACAAGCCAATTTACGTCCGTTTGATTCTTTGTTAGTGTCGTCACTACGAGAAGGACCTGTCAGCTGAGTTCACTGGTCCCGCTAAAAAAGCGGACAGTTTTAATGCATCTTTTCTAGCCAGCAGTATACAGGAATGAGGTAGGTATCTCTTTAAATGCTCCGAGAGCCCTCCAGCGGTGCTGTGTGTGGTGGGCAGCACACACCGCCAGAACCTAACCAGAGCAACTCTAAGGCTGTGTCTACACTTACCATTTAAAACACAAAAAGTCCATGTTTTGCGCTAAAACCGCGGGAGCGTCTACACTTGTTAATGACTTTTTGCGGTGAAACTTCTGAGTTTCAAAAAGAAAACCACCTTCACGAGAGGCCTACAGTCCTTTGCGCTGTTCTTTTTGCGCTGTTGTGAAAGTGAAGACACATTCTACCAGCGTAAACACCTTTTGGCCTCCGAAGGATATCCCACAGTTCCAAAAGTGACCACTCTGGCCAGCATCTCCGCTGCTCTGACGCCAAGTAAACGGACGTCCGCCCCTCCCCCTGTAAGCCCCGGGAAGTTGAAACTCCCTTTCCCTTTGCTTGTAGATGTGGCAGGGAAAGCAGCCAGACAGCAGGGGGGGTAAAAAAAATGCCACGAAAGAAACAAGGAAGTAATGGGGCTGCTGGGACATGAAGCAGGGCAACACGGGGCACTAAGCAGGGACCCAGAATGCCTTCCGCTCACCCCCCCCTTCCCACAGGACCTATCGAGAGAGCTGCACTGTGGGACAGCTGCCCTACAGCACTGCTCTCATCCGCGATGGAAGTGCTGGTAGTGTCAACACTCTCTGGCGCCTGAGGAACTGAGTGAGGACACAAACCAGCGCTTTACTTTCACCGGTTCCCTGTCACCGGTGACACTTACAGCGCAAACACTCTGTCAGTGTAGACATACCCTAAGCATACAGCTAGGCCTGGCATGTTTGCTCTAAATGCTTATTTGGAACCCAGTCACGCTCACCTTCTTCCTTCCTATTGGCAGTGTGGCAAAAAGAGCAAAAAAGACACAAGCTAGCTCAGTGGTTCTATCGGTATTTCAATCACGACTGGCTGCCTCTCTGAACATAACCTGCCCTAGATCAGCTGCACACTATGGACTGGTTGCAGGAACATTGGGTGACATTCTCTGGCCTGTGCTATATAGGAGGTCAGACTAGTTGATCACATTGGTCCCTCACACCTATTATCTATATGGGTGAGCTATATGACCCTACATAAGACTGGCAAATCTGTGGCTGCATCTCAGTTTAACACTGAACAATCCAAGTGCAGAGTAGCAACTAAAACCGTTCACTGCCTCGTAGCAGTATCTGGACTTATTGCTACCAGTACAACTGGATTTTAAGGAGGCTGGTCAGTGCTGAGACATACCTACTGTTCTTTTTGCCAGGTGCCAAGCAGCACAGAAACATCAGGATGCAGCTCACGGGCCAACATTGGGGTGCACTTGCCTAGCACTCTTTGGCAAGGAACGTCAAGGCCTTGTCGTGCCACTATAGAAAGCTGTCGGACCCAAACTGATCTCATCTGCCAAAGGCATCAAGCTATGCCAGTAAGTCCATAGCTGCAGCATGATTGGTGAGCACCAAGGATAGCCACATGAGGGGCCTGTTCACACTCTGGAACTCAGCGGCAGATGCCAAATCAACCTAATTTTCTTCTTTGACAGGGTCACTGGCCTAGTGGGCCTGGGAAGCTGTAGACAAGGTATATTTTGATTTTAGTGAAGCTTGTGACGCAGTCCCACATGACATTCTCATAAGCCAACTAGGGAAATGTGGCCTAGTAATGGGTGCACAGCTGGTTGAAAGACCATACCCAAAGGGTAGTTAGCAACGGTTCACTGTCAAACTAGGAGGCTCTATCTAGTGGGGTCCTGCAGGGGTACATCCAGGGTGCAGTACTAGTCAATATTTTCATTTATGACTTGGACAATGGAGTGGAGTGTGTGCTTATAAAATCTGCAGATGACACCGAGCTGGGAAAGGCTGCTTGCACTTTGGAGGACAGGATTAGAAATCAAAATGACCCTGAAAAATGGGAGAATTGGTCTGAATTCAACAAGATGAAAGTCAATAAAGACAAGTACAAAGTACTACACTTAGGAAGGAAAAATAAAATGGGGAATAACTAACTTGGTGGTAAAAAGAACAGGAGTACTTGTGGCACCTTAGAGACTAACAAATTTATTTGAGCATAAGCTTTTGTGGGCTACAGCCCACTTCATCGGATGCATAGAATGGAACCTATAGTAAGGAGATATATATACACATACAGAGAACATGAAAAGGTGGGAGTTGC